CAATTTGGAAATTTGGGTGATTGGGGGTTGGAAATTTCAGAATTTTAGAATTTGGAAATTTGGAAGATTGGGGGATGAAAATTTGATAATTTTGCAACTTGGAAATTTGGGAGACTGGGGGTTGGGAATTTCAGAATTTTACAATTTGGAAATTTAGAAGATTGGAGGTTGGAAATTACAGAATTTTACAATTTGGAAATTTAGAAGATTGGGGGATGAAAATTTGATAATTTTGCAATTTGGGAATTTGGGTGATTGGGGGTTGTAAATTTCAGAATTTGACAATTTGGAAATTTGGAAGATTGGGGGATGAAAATTTGATAATTTTGCAACTTGGAAATTTGGGAGACTGGGGGTTGGAAATTTCAGAATTTTACAATTTGGAAATTTAGAAGATTGGGGGATGAAAATTTCGGAATTTTACAATTTGGAAATTTGGGAGATTGGGGGTTGGAAATTTCAGAATTTGACAATTTGGAAATTTGGAAGTTTGGGGGCTTGGAAATTTGGAAACTTCCAAACTTCGAAATATGCACATTTGAAAATTTGAAAATATGGATATTTGGAAATTTCCATAAATCTCAGTCCCAATAGTCCCAATAGTTCCAATAGTCCTAAAGTCCCAATTATCCCAAAGCCGCAATCGTCCCAAGGTTCCAACTGTCTCAAAATCCCAAAACTCCTAATGTCCCAATATTCCCAAAATTAAAAACTTTGAAATTTTGAAACTTCAAACCGAAGTAAAATCACCTAACAACCGACACGATTTAAATTTTCTAATCTAAACTCACATTCGAACGTTGTCCAATGTCTGCCCTGTGATTTCGCTGGTAAAAAAGAAGGAACAGCTGAAAAGTCTGTCGGGTCTCTAATTTCTTCCGTTATCGTCGAGACACGTATGGAACAGTGTGCGAAAAAAGAGAGCCTGTGTGTATTTAATGCAATTTGCAGCACTTCATTCCGGCTGGAACGTTTCTCTAGTGTGTTTAATGCTCCACTCCGTGGCTAGTATCCTTTATTTAAAAAATATCTCGGCGGAAACCGTCGAGAGAAAATTCTTGACTCTGCTTAACGAGACAATAATTACTGACACGAGAACCGTAAACGGTCGCCTGCAATTTGGATAACGAACTAACTGCGAATTCTGTCGAATGTTCGCTTACTACATTCCTGAATTATTATTGACATACACCATTCATTTATTATTTTTATAATTTTGAAAAGGAGTATTTATTTATTTTTTTGTATAAGTGCATATTTTTTGTGATTTTACGCTTATCGTAATCGTGAATTAATATTAATAGCAGAGTATATGGTGCTTTTCATTTATTATCTATTTTTATGATTTTAAAAAATATTGAAATTAATACTAATAAAAAAATATTTATTTTCAGTATAAATGTTTTTCGTGATTATTCGCTGAGCATAATTCAGGATAGCAGAATAAAAAGTGTAGCTGGTTCACTATTTACTTTTATGACACCGAAAAAGACTGAATTTTATATCAAATGAAAGAATATTTTTGCGAAAAATACACAGTTCATTCAATGAATGCGTGGTTTTTCTACTGACTTTTTTGCGCATGTGTACACATATGATTTTTTTTTAATTTTTTGAGTGCGAACGATCACAAAGGATATTCCAACAACTTTTGATAAAAATTTCAGTTGCCAGCAGTGATTCTATCAATAAAAATCTGCGTCAAAGGTAGAGATACTTTATTGATATTGGGTGATGTGATTTTATCAATTTTTGGTTTCTAAAGGCGACACAGGACTTTACTGTTGGTCGTGTTCGCTCCATTAGATTTCTTTTCCTGTCTCTAAAATTAATATTGAGATTGAAGATTTTTATTGTGCTGCAATTTTTTACTGTTTAGTAATAAGTGGAGGATCATTGAAATTATTGTTGATTTTATGTAAAATATAATAGTTAACTTTCATAATTAAGAAATGGTTAATTTTGGTGATAAATAATGGATCTATGCCTTTAATCAATAAAGTAGGAATTAAATTATGAATTATACTATGAATTATACTTTGAATTATACTATGAATTGTACGATGAATTAAACTCTGAATGAAACTATGAATTAAACTATGAATTAAACTATGAATCAAACCATGAATTAAAAAATGAAATAAACTCTGAATCAAACTATGAACCAAACCATGAATTAAAAAATGAAATAAACTCTGAATAAAACTATGAATCAAACCATGAATTAAAAAATGAATTAAACTATGAATTAAACTAGGAATTACATAATGAATTAAACTCTAAATCACCCTAAAATAAACCTTAAATATATCACCCGTTTCAAATGTATTCCGAATTCAAATGGAGCATGTTTCAATAACCAGTCACTAAATCACCGCATCCTCAAAATATCCCTTTTTGGAAGAATCGATAAACTACTTGAAACTGTCCAAGCAGATTCGAGTTCTCCAGCAATCTAAATACTTGGAGCCCATCCCCATCTATCGAGATACTAGTTCCCGATTCTAGAACGTGTCACCGAACGTGGAACACCATAAATGCGAAACTTGTCCCTTGAAGACATCGATTCACTCGATCCTCCTTTCGAAGGGTTCATTCGCGTTAAGCATGCCTAACCACCGAGCAGGTTAACCAGCCACGTAGCTGTGTGTATTTTGGATCGCGGTTGCGAAGCCTGCGGAATTTCCATGCGATGAAAAGCTGCTCGATCTAGATGATAGAACAGGGAGGAAAAGCGTTCGCCCTTTCGAGCACGCTCAACTAATCGATGCTCGACGAATAACTAACGCCTGTGTCGTCGATCGAACACGTTCATCGTCGACGAAGGGAAGACGAAAGAAACATGGAGATTATGAAACGGTGAAATGTTGTAGAAACGTGAAACGACGATGTGGATATATGGAGATAGGAGCATTTGTTTACTTCAGGGTTTTCATCACTACTCTGGAGGAAAAAGATTCTACTTCGAAACAAATAGTGTACAGCTTTTAGGAGTCTATCTAGAAATATGAGGGTGAAATGTGAAGATAGTACGTTTAATTTAACAGGAGACTTTGAATTGGTTTACTTATTCTTTAAACTGAAGCAAGGTTGTTAACGAGGCTTATAAGATATCTAACATAACAGGAGACACTGAATTATTTTACTTTTGATTTTAAATTAAAACTAGGCTCTCCTTGTATCTTTATATCATCAAACTTCTAAATAAATTATGATGGTAAATTAAAATAGTGTTATGTCAAAAAGGTAGAACGATATTGAAAACGAAATGTACACAGTCTTTAATCTCCATTTTTACTACCTAATTATACTGACTAACATGGAGATAATAAATTTTATTTATAACTATACTATATAGCACAGGCCGATTATTCCAATATTTGCTGAGGACCGGTATTTGCAGGAAACCCATATTCGATCACATGTCATGGCATGGGAAACGCTGATACGGTTAAAAGAGTTAAATAAAAGGAGTCGATAGGGAACTCTGCATCGCTTAAATTATAAAATTATCAAATATTCCTAAATCTAATTCTGATATCAAACCCCACAAACAGCACCACCGAACCCAACAAACCCACCGAAATTCTAAATAATTTCCCAAAGCTAACTAACAGGATTTCAAGAAACAGTTCCCCCGAACTACTCCAAGTTCCATAACCCCATAGTCCACGAGACGTCCACAAAGTGATTCCATTACCCGTTTACACGTGTTACCATAGAGAAATGCCAATTGCCAATATCTAATCCCATAGAGAGAGGCTGCCGTAGGGCAACATCAAAGCAGAAACAACGTGAACTGCTCACCTTAGTGATGAGATCCTTGGCACGGCTCTCGAACAAGTGCTCGAGCTTCTGCGTGTCAACAGGTACCGGCGACAGCTCGTCCCATATCATCTTGTTCTTGTCGAGTCTCGACAGTATGATAGGATCATCCCTGACCTCTTTCCAGAACAGCTTCACCGTCTTCTTGCTCTTCTTCGTGAAGGTCGGCGGCGGACTTTTCGGCGAGTTGCCATCGTTCGCGGTCGTAGACCTCGGCGACTTCAAGGTCACGCTGAACAAAGGTGGAGGAGCCTGCGGGATGGGCGGCGGCAACCTTGCACCCAGGGGTGGAGGCGGCGGAGCTCGATACTCTGGAGGAAAAAGATTCTACTTCGAAACAAATAGTGTACAGCTTTTAGGAGTCTATCTAGAAATATGAGGGTGAAATGTGAAGATAGTACGTTTAATTTAACAGGAGACTTTGAATTGGTTTACTTATTCTTTAAACTGAAGCAAGGTTGTTAACGAGGCTTATAAGATATCTAACATAACAGGAGACACTGAATTATTTTACTTTTGATTTTAAATTAAAACTAGGCTCTCCTTGTATCTTTATATCATCAAACTTCTAAATAAATTATGATGGTAAATTAAAATAGTGTTATGTCAAAAAGGTAGAACGATATTGAAAACGAAATGTACACAGTCTTTAATCTCCATTTTTACTACCTAATTATACTGACTAACATGGAGATAATAAATTTTATTTATAACTATACTATATAGCACAGGCCGATTATTCCAATATTTGCTGAGGACCGGTATTTGCAGGAAACCCATATTCGATCACATGTCATGGCATGGGAAACGCTGATACGGTTAAAAGAGTTAAATAAAAGGAGTCGATAGGGAACTCTGCATCGCTTAAATTATAAAATTATCAAATATTCCTAAATCTAATTCTGATATCAAACCCCACAAACAGCACCACCGAACCCAACAAACCCACCGAAATTCTAAATAATTTCCCAAAGCTAACTAACAGGATTTCAAGAAACAGTTCCCCCGAACTACTCCAAGTTCCATAACCCCATAGTCCACGAGACGTCCACAAAGTGATTCCATTACCCGTTTACACGTGTTACCATAGAGAAATGCCAATTGCCAATATCTAATCCCATAGAGAGAGGCTGCCGTAGGGCAACATCAAAGCAGAAACAACGTGAACTGCTCACCTTAGTGATGAGATCCTTGGCACGGCTCTCGAACAAGTGCTCGAGCTTCTGCGTGTCAACAGGTACCGGCGACAGCTCGTCCCATATCATCTTGTTCTTGTCGAGTCTCGACAGTATGATAGGATCATCCCTGACCTCTTTCCAGAACAGCTTCACCGTCTTCTTGCTCTTCTTCGTGAAGGTCGGCGGCGGACTTTTCGGCGAGTTGCCATCGTTCGCGGTCGTAGACCTCGGCGACTTCAAGGTCACGCTGAACAAAGGTGGAGGAGCCTGCGGGATGGGCGGCGGCAACCTTGCACCCAGGGGTGGAGGCGGCGGAGCTCGAATACCACCCGGGGGTGGCACCATCGGCGGAGGAGGAGGCGGCACGCCGTTGGTCACGTTCACGGGGCCGAGAACGTCCACCTCGTCGTCGGAGTTCAGATCGGTGAAGTCCAGGTCGCACAGTGCCAGAGGTCTCTTCAACTTCTTAACCAACTCCTCCCAATGCAATTCGTTCTCTGACTTCTTCGTTTCTTGCAGCTTAGGCAGGTTGTCGCCTGTGGGGGACTTCAGAACGTCCGCCTTCGATTTTGATTTTGCCAGACCCTCCTTCGCCTTTGAGATCAGACCGCTCATATCCCCTATCCTGCAACACACGGAGTTTAGGACCTTCGTTCATGATTCAAGGTCCGCGGAAACTTTGAGATTTAACATTCAGAAACTTAAGTACGGAAGATTATGATTTTGCTGAGTAGTTCTAGTGAGGGTTAAAATTGAATAAGGATTAAAGGATTAGGACCTGCGGTAGACTTTTGGATAACATTATTAACTGTGCTCGTATTTGGTAATTTATCAATAAGTTCGAGTGGTTTGTCTAACATGGTACATAAAGAATTAGTAACCTGTCTATCTAGTTCTAACCCCCTCAAATAAAGACTCTAGTAATATCAATGCTACGTCAAAGTAAACATTAAGATATCAAATCTACATATATTAGAATATGCTGTTAAGGAGTTTATTCTTTAGAATGTGTTCTCCGGTCAAATTACCTGGAAACCTTCTCTTCAACCGGACTGCTCGGTATAAGATTTTGAGCGGCCAGCTTTTGTGTGAGATCCTTGACGGTTCCTTCCCTCTTCAACTGTAGAACCACTCGACGATCCTCATCATCGTCGGTGTGATTACCCTCGTCGCACTCGACACCCTCGTCCGGGCTCTTGCCGTACCACGGTTTCTTCTCTTCGGAGTCAAGCTTGTTCGCGGCATTCATCAGCGGTGTTAAATCCTTTCTGCTGTTCGTCCTGGACAACTTATTCGACGGCGAGTCCGCGTTCCTTTCATAGGATGTGCCATTTGTGTACCGCAAACCGTTCGTCGCGTAAGGACCTTCATGACACCAATGGAAAATTCATTAATCAGTAACAGTTCCATTTTACTGTCAAGTTTAATTAGTTTATTTAATACATTTTATTCTGGAATATGCTGTTTTAAATGCTGATGAATCCTGAACGTTGTTACTTGTTTTTCAAAGTCTGACAAGTAAAATCTAATAAAAATTTTAAGTAGGTACTGAAAAATAGGCGACAATGAACAGTTAGGCATGGAAGGACACAACTGCAGTTTCTTTAGACTTCAATTTTAAAATCTTGATAAAAATATCTAGTATGAATGTCAGTATCAACTGGTTCAAAATTTAAAATTGTTCATCAGTTTCCAACAAAAAATTTCCAAATGCAAATTGTTATCGAAGTTCTTCGTAAAAACTTATAGTATTTAATTGGCCTAAACTATTAGAGCTGAGAAATTATTGACTGTATAATGCATGTATTTGTTTGAAACATCTACTTGCATAATACAGAAAACTGTCAGTCGAAATCAAACTTGCCCAAGAGGGTTGAAACCACGTTTGACGAAGATCCTTTAAAAATGCAAACAGAAAGCTACTGCCTCAGGAACTAGTAGGGAAACTTCAAATAACCTACGCAAACTGTACACAAACGTCTTTCAAAGTTTGCTGGAGTTACTTAAGTGAAAACACGAGTTTCATGAAACTAAACAAAGATTCGTTCCTATACAATAAAAGATCCGAAAGTTACTAACTATTGTTATCAAAACTTTACAATTGTTCACCTGAAAAAATCTTCACGAAATAAAAGAATCTTTCTGAAAATTTTGGAGATTCTATCCTTCGTTTCAGAAAAAAATGTATTCTACTCCCACGTTTTTAAATATACAAATACATCCAAACTTTCTTGACTAAAATACCAACGTCCTCCACAGCGAAGTTAAGTTATTAATCCATGTATTGTGGAATGAAGAGAAATGATTAATGATAAAAAATAACGTCACTGACTTCCTTGACTGAGACATGAACGTCAAACAGCTACTTGGTATGAGACATGTCTACCACAAAAATGAAATGTAACACTAATTCAAAATCGTCTGAACATCGATAGAGTTTTGAAAAATCATAGCAAGAAAATAACATAAGAGTGCACATCCTTGTGATCTAGTAATCTACTGTAACGTAATCCAGCGCAGAAATAAAGAATTATTAACCGGTACCTGGTATATGAAATTGAGTGAAAAAATAATAATAAAAGTAATAAAATTACTGACTTTCCTGATCGTCCGAAGGAACCACCGACGCCCTCATGTTCGCTGTAGCCTCTTGTTGCTCCCTGATAAAGCTCCTCTGTCTCTCGGCTCGTTCTCTTCGACGTCTTAACGCCGGTGTCACGCCAACGTCCACTGAAAGGTGCAATAAATCACTCGTTTCCTCAACTGTTCTCCGCTGCCAATACACACACGTGCCCGATCATTTTCCGCGTCGAACTATAATTCACTATTTACCGAGCGACCGGCACCACCGACGGCTTATCGTCCGATCGTTTTCATTCGCGTCGAATCATGGTATACGGCCGAACTTTCCGTTTTGATTTATCGCCCGCGATATAGATCGGTACACGCGACGACGACAGTGCCAATAAATTCCAGCTCGTCACGCGTGTCGTTCCTTCGCGTTTCCCGTTTCACGCTCACGATAAAATTCACGCGCTGTATCAATTAGTGTTTCGACGAATCTCTATCGACGCTCGTCGTTTTGGTTCGGATCGATTGGAAATGAAAAGAGGCGATCAGGGAATACTTCTGACCGATAACTTATTGCATGTTTTGAAGCATTACTGTGCCATTCTTTGATATATTTGCTTATGTGGATATTTTTAAAATATGTTTATAAAAATATATTACTGAATTCCTATATTTCTATATTGACCACTCTACATGACCAAATTCTGTCTCAAATACTTATATCTACAAATTTCTAAATTCCTACAGCCCTACATTGATAGGAACGGAGACAACACATAATAGTGTCATCTCCGTTATAAGTGTTATATCACCTCGCACATTGCAACAGTACTTGAATTAACTGCGCTTATGAAACATTAGATAACATATTAACCTTCCCAATCATCCAATTGTGTTCTGCCCCTTAAAATCGATGTTTGACAGCCGAAACGCTGCAGAAGGAGAACTAGCATAACTACTAGATAGATAAAACGAACAAATTTTATATATGCATATGAAAATAATATTAATCACAAGAAAATATCCGAACATCAACAGAGTGAGAATCAATTGTCACTGAAACTAAATTCTGCATAGTTTTCATAATCTGTAAATCTTCTCCCTTTTCCAAGTTACTCTTTTTGATAATACAAGTGAGACTAAACAATGTGATTGAAAATCGAATTAATTGAAAATCAAAATAATTGAAAATCGATGTAACTGAAAATTTAAATGAAAATTATGATGATTAAAAATTGGAGTAACTTATTATCAATAAAGTTAAAATACTTCACAAGCAAATAATAATTAATCACTTAATGTGCATTTATGATCCCCCATGTACTTGTCAGTAATAATGAGGGTAACCAAGGACAACTTCATTTGTATAACAGGTGGTAATTGCAGTAGGTTGAACAGATACACATAAACGTCAAAAAATATAGATATGTTGATATCTCAATAAAAATAAAATAGTCTTATCAATTATAAACTTCATTGTCAACTAGTAATTTTGCTCCGTTCGTTGACCTTGAAATCTCCAAAATTAAAGCTACCTTACAAGTTATCATGTATGTGTAAGTTGAGTGGATTGATCTGTATGAGAACATATCTTAAGCGTAAGAACATATCTTACAACATTCAATGTACACTTAAGAACTCTAGTAGAAGTCTAATCTTTTAGAAACTTACAGTCGATGATTAAAAAAATTGACAAAAATTTGTTTACGTTAACAAGGAATGACTAGCTAGCTTACCCACATACAATTTGAAATAAAAAATAAACATACCATAAGTCATAATCAAACATACACTATAATTCTAGTAATACATTATCTCCACACATCTCTACGTTATCAGCACATTATCCTCATGAAAGTCAACACAGAGATCCTTCACAAATCCCGTAAACCGGTCACCAGCCGATTTTAGTATTAATACACTGTTTACTGTTTACACTGTTTCCGATAATAAGATTTACCTTATCGATCGAATGGAATGCATTTATGACAGAGTGAAGGGCAACGCGTTGACCTTGTCCGCGCGTCGATCATGTCGCGATCCGATATCCGTCGATCGGCAACTAAACTTGACCCTGCGCGAAAGTATCCGTTTTCCGGAACGGGATAAACGTCCTCAATCACGGGCCCCTTCGACGAAACTGCGCTTTTTGCCCCGAGTGTGCTCGTTGCATCCGCAACGAAACGCACGGGGGAACTGAAAACCGCAAGGTCTCTTCTATCGAGAGAGGGACGATCCGTTAACGCGGAAATCGCCGCTCGTGGGCGTCGAAGTTCGTATTCATTGCGCGGTCGATTCGTTAACGAGCGGATTCGTGGCGAGCGTTCGTGAGTTGTACGCGAGCGAAAGTGAAAATTTGCGTGTCTGCGGAGCGGCGGAAAAGTGGGCGAAAGAAAAACAACCGGGGTCTCACCTTTGTTCTCCTTGTAGCTGCCGTTCAACTGAACCTCGCCGAGATGACCCTGCGAACTTTGAGAGCTACTCGACTCGTCGTCGTCGTCGGGCAAACTCGAGTTCAGGGTGCTGTTCAGGGAGCTTAGACCCAACGAGTGGTTGAGCCGTGGACTTAACCGGGCGTTCAACGACATCGACAACGGAGACGTGCCCGTCGAGTGTCTGCGGGATTTTCGACGCTCGTGAGAATCCACCAGAGACTTCCGATTCCGCAACGTCTTCCTGCGGGACACACGGAAACTTCGCTTACAACTTGTTCCCTTTAACTATGCTATGATCGGCTGCATGATGCTTTTGGGTCAAATATTCTTCGCTGCTGGGATGTGGAGAGATTTGGATGAGGGAAAATTGTGGTGGACAAGATTAGTGTACTGTACTTACGACTTGAAAGATTCTTTCTAATTTAAGGATCATTCAATTTTGCATTTGGAACTATTTATGTTATCAAATCGAATTTGGAAGTTCGGTGGAAGGTTCAGAAATTAAGGGCTTGAACATTGATAAATGAAGAAATGTATTTGAAAACCTGAGAGTTTGGAAATGTTCCACAGATATAAAAAATAACAGTAATTAATATAATATAATATAATACAACATCTTTATAGTTAATAAATACTAAAAACAGTTTAATAAAAATTTGTATTCCGATAAAAATTGTAAATCGTTAGTCAAGTATGATTTGACAGCATCTGATAAGGAAATGATTGTGTAAAACATCTAAATATCATAATTTACTATTAACTGTAAGTACACAAGTATTTTTAAAACTTACTATATATGCTGCATTAATATCAAATGTAAATTTTGGCATTTAAATCGATTTTCCTCTTGAATTTCTAAGATTCAGTAGAGTGAGCTGATGTCTGACTAATCGAGTGGACATACTACTGATTCCGTGAGTTCAATTGCTGTACACCCAGAAAGTCACTATTTTGGAAATATTATGAGACATTTTGGATGCAGAGGAGAACAATGAAGGTATGTATCAATTTATATATACAGTTACATAATTTTTAGTGCATAAAACAATTCAGAAATTGTTCATGGATTCAGAAGACAGAAATCACTCGGTGATTAAAATGATCATTCGAATTGTTTGATAAATAACCTATTTGGAACTTTTTTACGAAGACAGAAAAAATGAAAGGTACCAAGAAAAAAATTAAGGAAATGCAACAAAGGAGGACGAAGAAATCAAAACTGTCATTAAAATCTTTATTAAAAAAAAATTACTCAAAATCAAGAAGAATTTACTGTGTCTTAAGTTAATAATTTTCCAGAATTTACATACTATAAAAACCATAGGAGTGATAAAACTTTTGTTACCGAGTATCAAACTCTAAGTACCTCGAGACAACCATAAACAGCGACATCAATACAAAAATCAATACCTGATGTTATCATCGAGCTGTCGAATGGGCGACCCCCTGTCGTTCCCGTCTTCGTGGTGGAGCACAGCCTCATAAATCTGGAATTGTCTGAGTAGATCCAGGTCGGTGCCTTGTTTCGACATGTACCTTTGGATGATACCCTCGATCCCCTGCTCCTCCAAGCAGTCCACTTGGTCGTAATAAGTATCCTGATCTGGTATGCCGTTCAAACACTTGTTGACCAGAGTTGTGGCATAAATCAGCAGCTCCGTGTCGGCGGCATCGTAATCCTTCAACAGCTTCATCACGTTTGTCCATGGTATCATGCCCCTGGACGTATCCACGGATCTTACGGCCCTGACCAACAGCAAACTGTTCGTCTCCACGTATTCGACGAACACCAACAGCAACTTCAGCGCGGTCTTCACCACCAGACGAAAACGGCTGGCTATCAATGTGTACAACCACTGAACGGTCTGACCATGTTCCATCACTCCATTCATACCATCCACGTAGAGCATCACCTGGCCGAGAGCTGTTTGAACAGAGACAAAACACTTTGAATCGATTCTGGGGACGCTATGCATTTAACAACGCGGATGACACGTCGGATGTGGGTCACGTTTAAAGTTTCAGGGAAGCGTTATTAAGATCTTTAGTGGTCTTTGGATTTCAGGTGGATGTGATGGATATTAGAGAACTGTATTATAATATATCAGATTTGCAAATTCATCTATTAAATTATATTGATTATTCGCTGGAGCTCTTCACAAACCCACATCTCTACACCCTCGTTAGCCACCTTCTGGTACTTTTGACAATATTCCTGGGGGTTTTAAGTAATATTTGTTCTCTGACAAGAAGTCCTATCTGATAAGGTTTGACCTGTATATTTATATACCTGAGTGAGTGGTCAGTTTGATTAAGTTTGAATAAGAAGGTCCAAAACAAGGGTTGAACTTTCTTACAAAACTAATTTAATACTACTAACATTTAGTCTTCTCAGTAAATTTGAAGAAACGTTAGATTTCGTGCCAACTTTGTTTCGTCTCTTTTTCAGAACGTGAAACTCCCATAAGCTGATTGGTCTATCCTATACCCGGTATAGTATTGCACCTCTGTACTCGTACAATCTTGCTTTCTACCATTTGGACCTCCTTTGTTGAAAAATCGTTCAATGCTAGCACGATTAAAGGCAGCTCCACTTTGCTGGAGAAAATCCAATAAGTTACGCAACAATAACTACTCCCGAACAGATTATCAACTTGTATACAAGGAACGTTATACAGCCGTGTCAAAAGTTATAATTTGCTCGGTGTGCAACCGGCATATGCGAGTTAACCAGCTCTAGAACGAGCGTGCAGAAGCACAGGCATAAGTAATAGCGGCAAACAACCCTTATTGTCGATAAAGCGGTTTCCATTGAACGTTGAATGCTTTAAACTTCGTTGTTAATGTTTCTCTGTTGATGGTGATGACTGCTGAACTATTGAAAATTGCAACTAAACTAGTTATTGCAGTTTCAAAGTTTTCAAGGTTGCTTTTAGGTTATATTCAAAATTCTCAAATGTGTTACCTTAAACATCCTCAAAATTCTTAAACAAAAATTGCAGAAATTTTTATATTTTCAACTGTGCAAGTTTAGAAATATTTGAACTTGAAGAATTTGTAAGACTTCAAATTTTCAAACGTGCAACCTTAAACTTCCTCAAAATTCTTAAACAAAAATTGCAGAAATTTTTATGTTTTTAACTGTGCAAGTTTAGAAATGTTTGAACTTGAAGAATTTGTAAGACTGCAAATTTTCAAATGTGTTACCTTAAACATCCTCAAAATCCTTAAATAAAAATTGCAGAAATTTTTGCGTTTTCAACTGTGCAAGTTTAGAAATGTTTGAACTTGAAGAATTTGTAACACTTCAAATTTTCAAACGTGCAACCTTAAACATCCTCAAAATTCTTAAACAAAAATTGCAGAAATATTTACGTCTTCAACTGTGCAAGTTTAGAAATGTTTGAACTTGAAGAATTTGTAAGACTTCAAATTTTCAAACGTGCAACTTTAAACATCCTCAAAATTCTTAAACAAGAATTGCAGAAATTTTACGTCTTTCACTGTGCAAGTTTAGAAATGTTTGAACTTGAAGAATTTGTAAGACTGCAAATTTTCAAACGTGCAACCTTAAACATCCTCAAAATTCTTAAATAGAAATTGCAGAAATTTTTACGTCTTCAACTGTGCAAGTTTAGAAATGTTTGAAATTCCTAAATTTTTAGATTGCAGATTGTAGAAATTTTTACATCATCAACTTTGCATGCTTTCCATCACTGAATGCAATCACCTCTCTCTATATTGCGAATTTCGAAAACTTTCTCCTCTATGAATATCCTATAAAGTCGTCAAGTCAACAAAGATCCAATATCAAAAAAATTATTATATTTTCAATAAACCTGTCTAAAACTGAATAATAAAATAATAAAACAGTATAGAAATAAAATAATAAAATAGTATAGAAATAAAATAATAAAATAATAGAACAGTATAGAAATAAAATAATAAAATAATAAAACAGTATAGAAATAAAATAATAAAATAATAAAACACTATAGAAAGTAGCGAGACAGTAAAATACAGAAGAGGTAAATAAATGTCAGGTATTTTGCAACAATGCAGGCAAAGTTTCGCGATCCAAAACTAGTAGTTTCCGAGGTTACTAAATTCGAAGGAATCAATGCTGATATGGTGGAGTTTCGATACCGACGACTTCGAAGTTGCGGGACTCGATACGAACAAACTTGGCCAGTAAGACCCAATAACGATGATAGCAAGATCCTGTAGGGATCTAGGATCGTTATTGAGACCCGTAATTTGTGAACAACCTATAACAAGTTCAAAGACTCTAAGGTGTTTCGTATCGAATGGCGTAGATTCTCGTGTTTTCTGTATCAGATCCTTCGGGTGGAGTACTATCAATATCCGATCTTACGAGTGGAACTTCTTTCGTGTGAGATCGTGTTGGTTTTACTGGGTGGATTGTGAAATTCGAAGTACGTTTTAATTCGGACTGGAATTAGGTTACTACATGTTGTATAGTAGAATACTATTTGTAGGGTTATTTTTAAATTTGTACATTTAACAATTTTTTAATGATTAAATTTTTAAACTATTGAATTTTATAATTTGTAAATTTACAGACTTGAGAATTTTCAGATTTTTAAATATTTAAATTTCTAAACTAAGTTCGGTAATTTAAAAATTTCTATATTTACACGTTCGACAATTTCATAATCATTAAATTGTGAAATTGTTGAATTTTTCTCAAACCGTTCAATTTTTTTATCTTCAAATTTTCAAACGTGTTCTTAAAATTTCATATTTATGAATTTACAGAGCTCAAAAATTGAAATTGGACCATTCACAAAAGTTCATTTTATATGTGCACATTTTTACATGCCAGAATTTTTAAATTTACGTATGTTCTTTTTAAACTTTTAAATTTATACGATTTTAAAATTGTAAAACATGCACACGTATAAATTTGCAAATTAAAATACGTCTAAATTTATACATTTGCATGTAAATATTGAAACACTTTCTACTTTACACATTTTGAAATATTCGAATACAAAAAAAAAACATCAGTGGACTTCGTTAAAAAATTACAAAATACAAGAAATTATTTTGAAATACCCCTAATACTATGTTCGAGGTAAAATGACAGTTTATAAATTTTTATTACCGGAATAAATGCTTATTGCATTACTTGTAAGGAAAATTACGAGGCTTTTTCCCGCGTGAGGTACTGGACCGTACAGTAGCAGTTAAGGGTTAATGAGGTGTGAAGTATGCGATGATAAATTCGCTCTAATTAGCATTCAAGGAAAGATTACTGTGACTTTCTCTTATTTTCGACGATTCGGCATTCATCGGAATATCTATGGGAAATAGCGGAGATTTACAATCATACGGGATATTTCGTGACACGAGCGAACGCGTTCGTCGATGCAAATGGGTTAAATCAGCGAAAACGCGTTACAGAATTGCAGGATAATGGAACTATTGTGTCGATCGAATGAGACTTTTTTTCCTCGTGGAAAGATCAGTCAGTCGGAAATTTCCGTTTAATCGATCCCCGGCCAAATAGCACGAATGTACTCATTCTACTCGAACGATCATATTTTGCAATCAATTATCTGCTAACTATTATAATTTGCATCGAACAGCGGGACATTAATCGATAAGTCGTTAAGTCTCGCATCGAAAGGTGATCATTAAACTCCATGCATGCAATCATAACAAATCAAAATAATAATTGCAATGTATACTTAAAATATCTTGAAAAAACGCGCACGATATATATATTTGCATCGTTATTGTTATTTATTATTTATTATAATTGCCGTTTCAGTACGCGATACTAATTTCATTCGGCAGAAAATTGATGGCCGTTCGATAAAAATTAATTGATATGCTGAAAACATTCGTTGAACGTGACAGCACGTGATTCGAGCATATTTATATTTTTCCGATATTCTGCCTCGATTCTGATTGGTTCAACAACTGGGTTATTTGGGACATTGTTCATTTTTTAAAGTGAATTAAATTTCTGTGACTTTGCGATTTCATTGATATTCGGGCTGATATTTTCGGAGTTTTAGTTTGGAATTTTTGGGGTGAAGTTTGGAATTTTTTAAGCTTTATATTGGGATGTTGGTATTTTAATTTTAGGATAATTTGAAAGGTTTGATGTTTGGAATTTTTGAGGTTAGGGGTACAGGATTTACAAGCTTTGGAACTTTGGGGTTTTTAAGTTTTGGAAAGGTGGAAGTTAGGGGTCTCAAGTTTTGGAACCTTTGAAGTTTAGAATTTTTGTGGTTAGGGACTCTGAGACTTACAATGTTTGGGAGTTTGGGGTTTTTAAGTTTTGGAAAGGTGGAAGTTAGGGGTTTTAAGTTTTGGAACCTTTCAAGTTTGGAATTTTTGAGGTTAGGGGCTCTGAGACTTACAAAATTTGGAACTTTGGAATTTCAAAGTTTCAGAAAGTTGGAATTCAGGGATTTTCAAGCTTTGGAACTTTTGTGTTATAGAATTTTTGAGGTTAGGTACTTTGAGATTTCCAAAGTTCGGAACTTTCGGATATTGTAATTTTTAAGTTTTAAAAAACTGGAACTTCAAAATTTACAAGTTTTGGAATTCTTGTATTGTAAAATTTTTGAAGTTAAGGACTCTGAGGCTTCTGAAGTTCGGAACTTTCAGACATTACGTTTTTTAAGTTCCACAAAATTGTAACTTAGAAATTTACAAGGTTTGGAATTCTTATAATGTAAAATTTTTGAGGTTAGGAAGTTGCTTAACAATATCGTCTGCCGCAAATGGCGCACGTAACTGTTAAAATGCAACGAATCTGGCTTACATTTTTACCACAATTCAATTTCGTGTTTAATTTCAACTCCTACCCTTCCTCCAATGATCGCCACATACAAAACGTCCCTAAAATTTGCACATTCTTTATCTGTCTTAATATTACAACAATAA